TTGGGCAGCCTGCTCAGATACAAGACGCTCAGTGACTGGCTATTGCATATTCCTTGGTAACCCATTGGTTTCTTGGAAATCCAAGAAACAACACACGATGTCAAGGTCATCTGCTAAGGCAGAATGCAGGTCCATGGCTGCTGCTGTTTGTGAATTTAGTTGGTTGAAAAATATTCTGAATGATTTAGGAATCAAGCATACAAAGGCAGCTTTACTCTTTTGTGATAACCAATCAGCCATACACATTGCCAACAATCCAATTTTTCATGAGAGAACAAAGCATATAGAGATTGATTGTCACCTTGTAAGAGACAAAGTGCAGTTGGGAGAAGTAAAAATGTTGCATACCTCTTTACAGAATCAGTTGGCTGATTTGTTGACTAAACCATTAGCTGGAGTGAAATTCAAGATATCACTTAGCAAGATGAGAACTTTGAATATATTCTCTCCATCTCAAGGGGGAATATTCAGATTTGTAATATTGTATAGGGTTATTTATGTCTTTTACTCATTCAATTTTGTATATAAATAGGCATTTGTGTATCCATTTTACTAATAACAGAAATTTAGCTGTGCTCAACAGCTTTTCTCGTCATTTCTCCATCTTCAGATTTCATCTTCAGATCTCACCTTCCTGCTGCAAACTTCACACCAAAAATGGGCTTAGGATCTGTTTGAACCCCATTTATTTGCCAAAATTTATTTTAGGATAATAATTTGATGGAAAATGTGTGGTTAAAAAAGAGGGAAAAATTTTAAATTTACGTGTAATATTATGTTACTGGAAAATGTGGTTGAAAAAAAGAAAGAAAAATATATTTTGAAAATAATGAGATCAAACAATGGCTAAATATACATACATACACGTCATGACACTTTGATGAAAGTTCACTTGTACTATAATTCGAGTAGTATTTTTAAATTTATCACTTTGCAGAAAAAAATTGTGTTCTTGATCCTTCTCGTATGTCTACTCGATTTCTTTATTTATAAGACAGGACCAAGAACCCAAAATTCCACATCGATCGATCATGGTTGTAACAACCTATTATGGGCACCAAGTTAAAATTACGCTTTTGCCATTTAGGAAAGTGACAACTGTACAATTTGCTCATATTTAGAGCTTGTTTGGGAGAGATTTTTGGGGGAAGAATTGATTTTGAATAGTAATATGATGGGAAATGTGTGGTTGAAAAAGAAGAAAAAGTTATTGATGTGATGAAAAATATTATTTTATTGAAGAATGTGTGGTTGAAAATGAGAATTGATTTACTGTAGAAAAATTTAATCTCTCCCAAACAGGGCCTTAATATCTCCTTAACTGTTCTCTAGACATTTTTGACAACTTAACATGTTACATCTTCTTAACATGAAAAAGACGTCAACACTTTTTTTATCACCTAGCACGTTGCACTTTTTAAGAAAAATAATATGGCAAAGCATCATAAACTATTTGGAGAAAAATAAAAACTTCAAGANTCCGACCTTCTCTTAACGCTGACACAAACCATTTTTTCCTTATTCGTCTATTTGTTGGATTCTGCTTTTCTGCCTTTTCATTTCAGCCTAGGATGGGATATATTGGAAATTTATTGCACTAACCCACGTGGGCTCAGCCTCAGCTACCTACTTTTCTGCCAACAGACCTTTACACTCCAACTCTATCCTCGTTAATTATTAATTTCTTACACATTCAAACATTGCTTGCAACTTTGTACTGCTTGACGGTTTCTACTTTCTACTTTCATTTTTGCTTCTTATAATAGAATTACGTTATGAAGAAGTCACTTTGAGCGAAACTCTTCTAATTAAATAAACACTCTCAAGAAATTATTCAAATAAGTCCAAAAATAACTTCTGAGCTCGTCTAACTTCATTTGATCTGCCCATCCTTGGATTTGACCGTGTGGGTATGACCCGCTCAACTTGACTTGTACGATTTTCTTTTCATTATGAGTGTACAACGTGCTCATTTTAACCCATCTATTGTTACATAACACATGTACCCACATTATTTGATATGCAAAATCATCGTCATCCATATAGTTTCAGATGTATCGTGGTGTCATCAAAAGTTAAATTTTGCTTTAAAGACGATGATGATTAGTTGGATGATCATATAACAATATGACACGTACGACTTTATCGAATATCATTAAAAGTAAGTATTATATTTAAGGATATACTTTGTACGTGATGGAATAAAAGGGCACATTTATGGTTCTTGATGTGTACAGATCACAAGAAAACAACTTGGAATGTTTGCAATGCATAAAAAGAGATCCTCTTTATTTCTTTACTCCATTTGAGGTAATATAAAAGTTGATCAATTAGGTTTTTCAGATATCTTTACAACAAGGATTTTCTCGTGCCCACTTCTTTTTTGCAACATCGCAAATTTGCAGAATCCTTGGAGTTTTTCACTTTTGAGATTTAAAATTAGTCAAACGCGTTCGATCGATACGTTAATATTCGATAAATTAAATAGAATTAACGGAAAATCACAAGAATATTGCAATATTGATTGGATAAGAATATTCACAAGGCATATGGGTGAGATCGACTATCTGGAGGCAGCCATTCCAATAATAATAAATTAATAATAGAGTAATGCTACTGACAGTCGCTCATTGCAGCAATCGCCATATGTAGCACACACATGGCATGTAGTTATTTGATGCATACCACATTTAATGCATCAAATAACTGCATGACATGTGTGTGCCACATAGGACGACTGTTGCAATGAGCGGCTGCAGTCAGCATATCCATATATTAAAATGTTTTTTTACTACTTATTACTGAAAATGGGAACAGAAAAATTACAAGCATTCATTAATTGAAAGCAGAGAATGTGTTGAAAATTCGTAAGCTTAGGCCTGATGGGATCTTTATAGGGTGATACCAAAATTAAATGCAAATTTCTTGCTGTTGCAGAATTCCAGGAGACGGTCTATCAGGTCAAGTGTAAACTATTTGTTTGGAATTAATGAATAACAACCCTAATTTCATCAAGTCAGATAAATAATACTTTTTTAACGGTTGAAATGAAAGAGTACAATTTTTTTATTTTTTAAAAATGTCTTCGTATGAAAATTATCAATTAAATATATTTGATTGATTTAGTTTTCAATCTAGAAATATTAAACTTGTCCATTTTTTATTTGGTGGTAGATGGAGGGGAGGGGGGAGAGAGTGAATTACCTGAAAAATAAAAACATCTCCCCAAAGAAAATATTTTTCTTGTTTTCAAGGAAAATATGGTGACGCGACCAAATGTAGAAAATTGAAAAAATTGTAAATTAAACATCACAAAAATAGGAAATTAGGTGGAAAAAACACAATTTCCATGGAAAAGAAAATATTAGTAATGAAACGCATCCTAATTATATTTCACTTATATATCAAAAAAAGTGATTACTGTTAAAGAAATATAATTCATTCAATTTCCCAAAAGATCCTATTGGCAGATTTGTGGGAACAAAATAGATCCATTTGATTGCTGATTAAGTTAATCCGACATTGGGTAAAATTTGAAAGCTTTGGTTTTCGGCAAGCGGCCTCGTGCCTCTCGTCCAGCCAAGTTTCTAGGTTCTTTTAAATATGCTTGTTCGATCATCTCCAACTTCTAAAGTATTACAATCTTTTCATACATGTGAACAAGGTACAAATCATCCAAGAATTCGAGATCATCATCATACGGTACAAAATGTCGTTTTATTCATCAAGTCAAAGCAGCAGCAGATGCCCTCTCTCCACCACTGCCAAAATCAATGGGCTTACCTACATTGCCCATCAAATTTGGGTGACGAAATCTAGTTGATTGGCTTATTTGTTGGAACAAAACTGATCCAGTTGATTGCTGGTTATGCCAACTCCTGATGTTGTGCTTAACTTGGGGGATTGTGATTCCTATTTCTTATCTTAACGTTTTTGGCTTTCTTTGTGTAGTTGTCTACCACTAAAATAGACTTGTGCTATTTCTACAAGCCTCTTATGTATTCTCATTGGATCATGGCAGGGTGCAAATCCAAATAGAAAGGAAAAATTTAACCACGTACAGTATTTCTTACATTGTATTTGTTTGTACAACTAACATGAAACATACAACATAATACCAAAACTACGAAAGTAACTTGTGACAAGAAGCTATTTGACTCATGCTACATCGCTTTAAAAAGTTGCCCAAAATTCTGAAATTTTGGGGTGGCCTCTGGCCGTGTGCAGTCATGGGCTTTACACAATTATTTGAGTTCTCAAACTGACCATCCCCAGGAAGAAAGGCTTTATCTTACAGCAAAATCATTTAATGATACTGTTTCGCGCGGGTTCGCTCGCTAACGATTAAAAGGGGATCAGACGATTGTGTAAGGGACAAACCTCTTGGAGCAAAGTCCCAAAAAGGAGTGTTTATTGAATATGAAGATTACAGTTTGGACACGAACAAGATGCCTCCAAGGGGCGCAAGCACACAAGTACAAGGGAATTGAAGTAATTAAAAGTTAATCTAAGAAAAGTAAATTACATGTTCTCTGTTTTGAGAGTGAATTTTGTCGGNATTTAAACCGCTTAAAGCCGTTGCCTTGGATGGTGGCAGGACGTTATTTCCACTGGGGCCTTTGGGTAACTTAAACCGTTTGGGCGATGACGGATTTATACCTTTGGGCGACTGCAGGGTCTTTTACTCGCTCAACCTCTGGGCGTTTTGCAGGCTTGGGCAATAGCATTGCTTTTGCTTCGTGGGCTTTTATGTCACTTGCCCACACTTTTATTCAGGCTCTCATACTGGACCTTCAATTGGGCTCCGCTCTTCGGATACTGGGACCTCGATTGGGCCTTGCTCTTTTGGGCCTTCTGCTTGGGCTACACCTTTTGTGTGTCAACAGATACGATGCACTTTAATCCAATTTAAGCTTTATGGCCATTTTTATGCTTCATAAGACAATCTTGGAAGACTAAGTAGACTATTACACCAGGAATGCAATACCTTCAAGTGCTGACTATTCATCATCTGCAGTCGCAAGGAACTCTGCTAGACTCCTATTAAACAGGCCAAGAGACCTGTCCAGTAGCTTCTCCTTCACTTCCTCAACGACAGACACTATCTCACTGGACTCCGTAGTTGTAACTGAATGAACAACAGCAGCAGTACGAATGTCATCTGAGCTTCAAGGGAATCGAAAACTCTACAGTTGTAACTTTCTGTTCCATAGTCAGGAGCCGAGGTCACAATTTCCACTGCTTCCATATTGGATAGGACATCCCAGACCTTGTAAATTACATGAGCTTTAGAAGACATCGAGTACAGCATGACTTGCTATAGGCATGCACATTTAAACCACATGCATGCACATATAGATGGAGAGGGTGGGAGATGCTGTCGACCAAACTTTAGCAATTAAATGTGCCCCCTCTTAGCTTAAGGGTTTAGATTAGACAGTTCAACATGATATTACAACAGACAAACGTCTTGGTTCGAGTATCGTGGCCACTCATTTATGAGACTTGTGCACATGTTAGGCCTCTGATTAAAAGGTAAAAATGTCCTATATGGCCACCCATTTATGAGAATTGTGCAAGTGTCATTATTATAATAGCTTAAACTTTTAGATGTGACGATTTAACGTGAGAGTTACAATTTTATGATTAAATATAAGAGACGAGAATATTACCCCAACAGAGGCAAGAATGACAAACTCATCTCCTACAGTGATGTGGTGGTAATAGACGTCTGGGATAGAGATCAAACCAAAATCTTTCAAACAAAAGTCCCCAAAAGCTCTGGCCATTGCCAAACCAGGTGAATTGCCATTAGGCAATCATACACGTGTAACTTCTTGCTCATCTTTCAATGCAAAGACTCTTCCTTTAAATTTCTGGATCATAGCAGCTTCTCCTGAAAAAAATATAAAAAGGTGGAGATTTTCAGTTCTGCATCACTGAAAAAGCAATGCACCTTTTCTTCTTTTATTGGCGAGGAAGCCACAATGGGATTCATCTCACAGCCAATAGTTAAATCATCGTACTCGCCATATTATCAATAGTTTCAGTGTTTGCATGAGCATAAACATTAAAGCATGTGTGTGTGTCACCGTGTGTTTTCAGGAGGATAGGGAAGAAAAGAAAGATACTTGGCAGATTAGGTTTCAAGTCCACAGTCAACTGTACTGCCATCAAGGCTTTGCTACTGTCTCTTGTAGCCAATACTGCTCTAGAATCACCAAAGTTTCCAATTAAAAGATCCTTACCCTGGAAAATTAAGTTCATGAATTGATAAGCCACATAAATGATTTTATTTCTTTACCAAAATACAAACTGTCTCGCATTTGTGCATCTTCAATGATATAGTTACAACAATGGCAAATCACAAGACCGTCTACTGTTTATGACGTTTGCATTATAGACAAAGATTAACATGCCTTTCATTGAGTTAAAAGCCTAAAACCATCTTAAATTGAGAGAAACGCTATATCAAAATGAGAGAGGAGAAACTATCTAGCTGCTTTCTTTATAGTTGCATGATGATGCATTAATGAAAAATTAGAATAGAGATCTAAGTTAAGTGTAACAGCTCTGTACAGAAGACCTACCCGCATTATCAAAGTAACAGCAGTTGTTCCACTACAGAAACTATCAATTGTTGCATGCAACTTCAATTCTTTATCCATTAACTTGAATGACTTTTGCATTGATTTCTTGAGCGGCATATGCATATCAGGAAATTTGTCTTTCTCCTCAACTTCCATTGACTCACCCCCATCATCATCCACTGAATTGTCTAAATGTCTCATTCCTTCAGCATCTCCATTCTCATAGACAGAATTTTGATGGCTGTTGAGTTTAGCACCCCCCATCATCATCCACAAAATTGTCAAAATGACTCATTCCCTCTGCATCTCCATTCTCATGGAAAGAATTTGAGCAGCTATTGAGTTTAGAACCCCCATCAGTCCATCACCATCCACAAAATTGTCAACATGACTTGTTAGCTCTGCATCTCCATTCTCGTGGACAGAATTTTGATGGCTATTGAGTTTAGCTTCCCACTCTGCATAGCTTCCCACTCTGCACGCAGCAAAAGTGGTAGAGCATCCAGAACTTTCCTTGAAACCATGTGACCATACGGACCATGACCATCAAACACCCCGCAAAAAGTTGCTTGCTTCTCGTGCAGAAATTCTACTATAGAAACAATTCAAGCAAGTCATAAATAACTCAAAAATACAACAGCAGCTTACATTTTCTTTCAATTTTCACCAATCAAAACCTAAAACTACATTTTCAGAATACAGAATCATCATAACTATTAACTTTACATAGACTTTGAAATTATTAGAATGTTAAATGAACGGCTAGTCTATAAATCCACTGTAATACACCATACATATATTTTATAAAAATATTATACATATTACTTCAAATTAAACTAACCTCCCAAACAATCATGGAGTCTTTATTTGTTCTTTCTGGCCTTGCTGAGCGTACAAGCTGGAAATGTGGCTCGTCCCATTTGTAAAAAGCCTCCCTGGAATTTGATACAACCCACTCTCCTCAACCAATGCCACCGTAGCTGCAGCAGCGCCACCGCCGCCACTTAACTTACTGAAGAGATGGAAGCTACCCTTCTTCGACTTCAAATGCAAGTTTCTACCATTGTCATGCTCTCTCTTGGCATTAATATAGGAATAACATATACCCATTTATACCAATGATTTTTTCAGTTTTTATCTTAATTCAGACCCAAAAAGGAAACATTAAACTGATCAAATTGACATAGCTGGAACAGAAAATAGCTGCTAAAATTCAAGAAAATAGAGAATGCAGAAGGGGCAAGAATCAGAAGGGTGAATTGGGCATTTGACTTTTTTGAATTTCTAGTAATTTATTCCGCATAGGATGCTGTTTGAATGAAAGCAAGGACATACGATGCATTAGTCTTATCTTTGTTATTTTTGTTATTTCTAGCGGACGTTCGGTTCTGCCGTTGCATTTCCTATTCTAAATACTTTAGTTCTAATTAATAAAACAATTGTCATTGTCGTTCTAATACATATTTATCTACAATAATTATTTTTATTATTCAAAGAAATACTTTTCGAGTAAAATACAAAAACTTCACTTGACAATTAAAGATTTCTTCGAGAAAATATCTACAACTCTTTCACATAAACAAACGAATCAAATGATAGCAGATTTTTGTTTCATGTACTCCTATCATATACTGAATTAAATGTCATGGTGGCCTGAGAAAAATTTCTTGTAGTGGACCATGTTGAATCCAAGTGGTCAGAGCCGGGAGATGTGTAACTGGAAGAGGTGTGATTGGTGCCATGCTTAGTTTTAGGGTTGGGTCTAACTTTCACGTCCATGATGTCAGAGATTAATCCTGGTCTTGTTATCTTATTTTCATCAACATTCTTTTCGCCGCTCAGCAATTGGACGACGGTTGACATGGAGGGTCGAAGCTTTGGAGAATCTTGAGTGCAGAGAAGACCGATCTTTAAGAAGCTGCAAGCTTGTTCAGCATCAAAATCTCCGTTCAATGATGTGTCTACCAGAGTTATCAGCTCTCTTCTCTGGTAGAGCAGCCATGTCTGCAGCAAAGTTTAGGACAGCCATTTAGTTAGTTGGTAATCAAAAATGATCTTCGGATATGAAATTGACACAGTAAACTATCATTGACATTTTTGTTATTTACGTCCATCTTCAAGATATCAATCATTTTTAAAGTTCAATTAGGCCAATGGAGAACAAACAAGTTAATCAAACTCAACGAAGTCTAAAGACTCATAGAACAAGTACTATATGAAATATAAAAGAGAATCTAAAGCAAGCCTCGGACAATCTTTGAAAGAAGTGAATGGCGTCCAAATGCCTCGCGGAAATAAACCAGCAGTTAAAAGTATACTTTATCAGTTTGGTAAGACTGATGTTTGTAACCCTCGACCAAAACTAGAGTACTACATTTACGAATTTACTGGTCATGAAATTGAAACTTACTGCTACCACAACCACAAAAGTGCATCATCTAATTCAATACTGTGCACTGAAATTACCTTGACTTTGTTTCGTAATGTCTTCCACCTTCAAATATAGATTATTAGTTTTATTTATTTACTTATTTCGTTACTAGTTTATTCCTTTAGAAAAGCTAATGAAGAAACTTGGCCGCTGTATTATCATTCTTATTCTATCTTTTTGCCTCCGATCATAAATCAAGAAATACTTTCCAATAGAACCTACTAGTAATTATGCAAATGGAAAAACATGAACCACGAAAGTGGTTTCAAAAAATACATACCCTTTCAAGAATATACTGTTCATCAACGGGTAATTGCATGTTTGTGTTGCATCTCCCAGTGACTATTTCAATAAGAAGAACCCCGAAACTGTAAATATCAACCTTACGTGTCAGCTTGCCTACAACTGCATACTCTGGTGCCAAATAACCTCTGCAATAACAGACAGATATTCAACTATATGCTATATTTGGGATGTCATCACATGAATAAAATATTAAATGTAATTATTGTCATCATCAACACAGAAACCATCAAATCATAATCTAGCCTAAGAAATAACAGAGGAGAAGTGACTGAAATCCAAATCTAGAAGGCAATATGTTTTCAAATCAATTCCTTAATGAACTCCAAGGTCATGATTTAACGGGCAAAATGCATGCTTCGAACAGTTCGAGAAGAATTTGCAACTTACATGGTTCCAGCCACACGTGTACTGACATGAGTCATTTCAGGAGGGATGAGCTTTGCAAGACCGAAATCTGAAATTTTAGGTGTCAAATCTTTGTCGAGCAGAATATTGCTAGCTTTGATATCGCGGTGGACAATGTGCGGTTGCATTTCCTCATGAAGATAGGCGAGTCCCTTTGCAACTCCAATGCAAATTTTAATCCGTGTTTGCCAGCTAAACCGGATTCGGCTCTGACCCTTGCCTAAAGCAGGATGTCAAAAGATCGTCAGAGTGAGAAACAATCATCATAACAAATTATTTTAGCGAAACAAGAATTTCTATATCACACGAGGTCCTAATTCTGGTGTCTATTATTGGGGAGTTTCATAAACACTAAACTTGGTGCCTGTTTCACTAAACTTGAAAAGCATATACATAT